GACTCCTGTTCTCTGTCAAGCCAACAGCAGCCCAATACAGTTTCGGTAATCTTTTTTATTAGAGAACAAATAACTTATTTTTTTACTGCCATCAAAGTGACCCTTACTTTTGAGTATTTCAAATTCTCCCTGGAGCCTTTTTGAATATCTTGTAATGTGCTTTGAAGGTGATTACACTACCCTTTGTCCCTCCTCTGTTATACAGTATTCTAACTATTCAGGCTAAACGTCTTTACTGTGAAGAGAAAATAGATTGAGACATCAAACACATTTGTAAAATACAAAATTCACTAGGTTGTATACAGGAATATAAAAATGGAAAAATGCTATTGGAAACAGGGTTGAAAATATCAAACACAAAATGAATGAATGGCCAATATGTAGGTACAATATACAGAAATAATATTACAACTTTGTTAATCTTTATCTTTATAATATTTATCATAAAATTATTTCCAAACTTTTAATGAAATTGTTCATAAAACAAAAATTTCTAATTTTGTGCTCTCAGATTTTATTGAAGTAAATTTTTAATACAATTTCTGAAGAGATGGATGTTTTCAAACTAGCACACAGAGACCATAAGAAACTAAAGGCACTCACAATGGTCAGAAAAGCGAGATAAGATAATGGGTTAAACAACATTTGGGAAAAAAGTGATGCTGAGGAAATTTTATGATGCTCATAATGAAAAAATCTATCAAACAAAGGTCAGAAAAAAAACCTGTTGTGAGGAACATTCAGGTCAAATGAATGACAATGATGATGAATGAAAGATTTGATCTACTGGTGAAGGATGAATGAGGAATCTGGAACAAAGAAGCAGAAAAAATAAAGCCAGAAGAGTCTTAATACGAACGTTAAACTTGTCTTGAACTAGAGAGGAAAGGTGCCAAGCTAGCAGACAAATCCCCAAACAGGAAGACTATGGAAAGAGGTAGTTTGAAAGAAAAGTGAAGAAAACCAATAGATGGAATATACCCATGGGGATACAATAAGAATGGAAAAAGAGTGGAGATGGGAGAGAATAGAATGTGGAGGAAAATGGAGTCTATTGCCTACTTCCCTGTTCACTGTTTGAGGCTTTCTGTTGTCACATCCAGCCACCTGTTTGATTATAAAGTCTTCAGGGAATTTGATATATCTTAGATGGGATTTATCATACGTATGGGCTATATTAACAAATAATGAAAATGAAGAGTTGTTTCATCTTTTTCTGGAAGACAGACCTCTAGTTTACACAATCAAAGCAATTAAATGAATAGTCGTGTTTAAGCTTCCGTTCATAAAGTACTGTGCTTATCTACAAAAGTATTGTATGACTTGACAAAGCTACACAATGTAAAGCCTATAAATACAGAAGTTTAATATAGCAGTGAGATTGCTTTACAACTACAACAGAAGAGCACTGTGTTCCTTATTTAAAGTATAATATCTTTATAAAAAATAAACTATGCTATAGCTCTGCCTGATTTGGGAACAAATATTATCCTTACACGACCAAAACCCTTCCAGCTATTCAACCTCATCTGTTGGCTACTGATGGAGAAGAAATAAAGTTATTAGATTATCATGTTATAAGGCGACAGCAGAAAGTGACATAGCTTTGTCATTGTGGTTGTAGAAGTTCACAAACCCCCATGTAAGTCTGTCAGCCCTAATTCAATAGACCTGAGCTTTTTTTCTCTGCCAGGTTTTACACTACCCTGTTTCTTGACCTTCATGCCCCTAACTTCTATGCTTTTCATTGTTATCTTGAATTTCCACAAACTGCTTTGTGACCTCTTTCAATTTTATTCCTTTGTCTCTTCTTGTCCCTATTTTACTTTTGTTTTTGGTACAATTAATACTGATAAAACACTAATTTGAAATTTTAAATCAGACAGCTCAGGTTCTGGCAGAGTACATGCTGTTATTCTAGAGTAATCTTTCTCTTCTCTCTCTCTCTCTCATTCAGCTTTTATCTCTTTCTCACTCTCTCTCTCTTCCTTTCCTTTCTTCCTTTTCTTTCATATAACTTCTCTAAGTACAACTATGTACTACTTGAGCTGAGCAGTCAAGAACAGTTAATAGCTGGGATATCCTTGGGTGCTAAAATGTAGTAATATTTGAAGTCACTGGCACTCTGAAGAGGAAAATGTATTCTATGTTTTTTAAAGACACTTTAATTGCTCAGGAATCATGCAGAACTGAGAAATACAGCTCTGCTTCCAAGATAATAAATTCCCAAATTGCAAAGGTTGCTTACTCAATACCTTTGCTATCTAGCGAAATATGAGAATGACACCAAGACTTTAACTTTGTTAATCTATTATTCGGTATTAACTCTTATGTACTTCTGTAGTATTTCACATAACCTGCTGTGTGCTACTGTCATTTAAAACATAAAGACTTCATCTAGCTTTGTTGCTAAAAGAAGAAAGTTGTTCATACAGAGTCCATTTATATAGCACTAATTCAGCTAAAACTAAAATTAATAATGAACTGGAGGTTTGTATTAGTAAACAGATGAAAAGCTTTAGCACAGAGCAAAAGTAGCAGTACTAATTACAATCAGCTTTCACTGACTGTTGCTGCTTGTCCTTGTAATTTCCCTCTCTTTTTGTGCAATTATTCTATCAACTAAAAAGTGTTCAAAGCTTTTATTATGTTAATTCTATTTCAATTGTTCATGTATATTTAACATTTAAACATAATCTTTATATGGTTATCATGATGTTATTAAAAGGACATCATCTAGCTAATGCATTGATTAAAGATTTCCCAGAAATTTGTGATGTCTGTCATAGCTTCATTTACAATCATACCTTAACTTCTGAGGGTGAAGCTTTGGATCTCTGTACAACCTTCTCAAAACTTTCTCTGTGCAAACTACATCAAAAAAGGAGTCAAGTATGAGTGTATTCTTTTTAACCCTTTTTCTTCCCCTCAGGACCTAAACACTGTATGGCTGTGTGCTTGAAAATATGTTCTTAGGCTCTATTAAAAAAGATTTTTAATGATGTTCAAATCTCATCAGTACTTTTGAAGATTTTACTCAGACTAATACCTCAAAACCTGTAACTTTAGAATAATACTTTTGTGTGTGTGTGTGTGTGTGTGAAAGAAACAGACAAATCATAACAATGCCAAAAGATACCATACCCAGGTCATAATCAATTACGAACCGGCCAGAAAACTGAAGACAAAACTATGTTCAGTACCATGGACAAGTACCGCCCAAACAGTCCATAACAGCGAAAGCAACTTACTCAAAACATACCTTTTGTTACAAAAAACACAGACCAGCTCCTGCTCTTTTATAACAACATTATACATTCTAAATATCAGTACATTCTTAAAACCTAATTTGCTGAAATCATCACAGTTCAAAATAAAAATATGTGGCAAAAAGTATCAGCATTGGAAAATACAGGATTATGGAATTAGTTAGCATGTATAACTTGTTCCTTCTGCTAATTTGTCCCTTCAGTCTGTCAGTACCAGAAGAAAATGAAAAAAAACCCTAAAACTCAGGAACCTAAAAAGCAGATTATAATCCCCAAAGCTCTTGTCATTCCTTTTTAGCATAACTTGCCCTTACAAGTAGTATGAAACATTTACAGTGCACTATATTTATCTTCATTTGTTATATCACGCTGAAGATAAAAGACCTGTATAAAAAATGGTGGTGTAAGACAGTCCCTTTATCTTTTTCAATATTTTGTATGTGCATTTCCCAACTAAATTACAATTGCACATAATAAATCAACTTCTTCATAATAGTTTAACAATGCACTTTCATTTTGTTCAATTTAAAAGTTATACATGTTTCATAAACCTCAACAGTCCCAACAAAATGTGGAAAAAGTTTGACTAATAAAATGATGGGTTTTGTCTTCTTGAAAGTGAAAAGTTTGCCTTTTAATATCTGTAATTACTAAATAACTAGACAATTTCTAAGGAATCAACAAATTTTCAGTTTCATAGATGATACTCTACAGCTCAAAATTAAGAACGGGGAAAAAAAATTGACTTCTCAAATTAGTCAACCTTCTAAATCCCTGTTATAAGTACAGACAAATGCATTTTACAACTTGGTGCGCAGAATCAGCTGATACAATATGACTCTGGTATCAGAGACTTTGTAAAATAATACTATCTCTCACCTTTCCACTAAACCACATTGGGTCTAATGCCAGCAATGGTATTTTTTAACTCCCAGTTCTCTGGAAGAATTTATATTGTCATTAGAATTATGTTTTAAGACATATGCTTGCTCTGTGATATGTCTCACACTTCCTCAGATCATCTTCCAGAGTCTGTCACCGGTCAGTGTAGCTTGACACTTGTCATTTACAAGTTACAGGTCCATGGAAATCAAAGGAAATTTATCCAGTGTCTTAAATAACTTCACGAATAACTTTTGTGAAGATTAAGGTATCTATACCTGTTTTATTTTCATGAAAACAAATCACTTTGTAATACCAAACTCAATATCCAAGTCTACATCAATACATCACTTCAAACAAAATGGCAGATCAACATACTTTGATGCATGATCAAATTAAAAGATGGCACTTGGGTTCTCCTTATAATTATCACTATTTTAGCAACACTGTAACAAGTCCTGTCCGTAAACATATTACCCTATTAAAAATCCAGTGATAACTCACAGATATTCATAAAGTATTCCAACTGCACTATCCAAAACCAAATAAAATGTTAGAGAAAAGTGCAAAGAACCCAAGAGGTTTCAAGATTTTGTTTTATTTTGTTTTGTTGTTTGCTTTTCAGTTTATCTGCCATTTTGGGGTCTGTGTTATTTTAACTTCAGCAACACCTTGAACTCACTTGCATGTGTAAAACATTTAGAAAGGAGTGATGAATCGTATTCATAAAGTTCTGTTGAAAAACCTTACCCCCGCGTTTTTTCTATCAACATTTTTTTAAATTGAGTATTTACCGTTTGTGCCAACACACTTGTTGCAATGTTGGCTGTAACCAAACACCAGCTGCACTTACCCCAGTGTTGTCATGGTGACAATGGTGTACCAGAAGGCTGCAGGGATGCTGGTGAACTTGCTGGCTGATGAACCTTTCTCTGCATAGTACATGACTGTGGCAAATATGATGATGGCCATAGTGAGTGAGAAGAGGAGGAAGCCTAACTCCGAGGCACAGCTTTTCAGGGTATAGCCCAGGATGCGCAGCCCCTGTGAGTGGCGGGAAAACTTAAAGATCCTGAAGACCCGAAAGACTCGTAGTGTCACAAAAGCCCCACTGACATCCTCGTTATCTGTCATCACCAGACCAATGTAATACGGCATGATGGCGACCACATCAATGATACTCATGACACTGCGCACAAATTTGTAGCGACTAGGGGCCGCCAGCAGGCGTAGGAGATATTCAACTGTGAAGATCATGACACAGGCAGTATCCAGACAGAAGAAAGCCACAGCATAGCGCTCTCCACAGGGCAGCTCCTTGATGCGACCTGGGCTTACCCCACAGGGCACTGTCTCCACCACATTGGCAATAACAGAGACGGCAATGAAGAAACCAGTGACATAGTAGAAGACCAGAGCCAGTGTACTGGTGTGTGGGTTTTCAAAGGCCCGCCACATCCTCTGCCGAGCTGTCATTGAGGGCAGGGAGCTTTCAGCTGCATGATCCTGATCTTTTTTGCTCGGCATGCTCACGCCGGCGATCCTTATACTCCTCGTAACAGCAGTCACCAATGATCTCCGGGATGATGCCAAAGAAGGCCAGCTCCTCATCGTAAGCTGAGATGCACTCCTGGCGGGGATAATGAAGCTTCCCAGTACGGTAGAAGTTGAGAATGTGCCGGAAAATGTCAGGGTCCCGATCAAAAAAGTACTGCTGTGTCTCAGGATGGTAGAAGAAGTCCCGCTCCGAACTGCCCAACAGAGTGTCAGGGTAACGCTCTAAGGTGTCCAGCCATGTCTGGAACTGGATGCCACTCACATTCAGCACAATCAGAGAGTCCTGGCTTCGCTTCCTCTCCTGCCGCGGAGCAGCTGGCATGGGACCTGTGGCCACTGGCATCCATCCTATGGCTGCTGCCCTGGCAAAGGGTAACCAAGCTGCTACTCCTGCTGCCATGGTACCAAACAACTAATACAGCTGAGGGAGTCAATCTAGAG